CCCCAAAACCCCAAAACCCCAAAACCCCAAAACCCCTGCCTAAAATATAAAAATTGAAAAAACATGAATTTGCTTTATTACCCGAAAGATGTCGTCAAAAAAGCATTGGAGAGTTATCAAGTAGAGGACTATGAGAGTGATGATGATCTGTATGATGATGAGGAAGATCAGCCTTCCAACCTGCCTGTGTACCTGGATTCACACTCGATATCAAAAGTTCACAGAAACCTTAGGTTTTATATTGTGATTGATGGTCTTCCTAATCAGAGAATCCCAATCAGCCTGGATGGGGAAGAGGATATGAAATATTTTGAAACCCAGGTATCAGAGATGCTACAATTTAAACTTGATTTCCTAAATGGTTTAACTATTTCTTCTCTAATTCCTCGTGAAGAGCTACCAAAAGAGGGTCCAATTAAGGATGCGATCACAGAAAATGATGTTTTGCATTGCTCTTTGGAGACACGAGACATCTGGGTCAAGTGCATCATAATAATGGCTGTTACCAATCCTCAAGGAGGAAAGCAAGCACAGACTCAGCGGTATGAATTCACTGATAACCTATAGAGTACGTACAGAGATGAGTATAAAACTGAACCTAAAACACTACCTTGAAGAATTCAAGAATATTATTCAAAAGTTAACCTACTGAATCTGGAACAAGTTTTGATATGAGGAATATCAAGGAAAGAACGACTCCTACGTTCTTACCGATATAGACTATGAGCTCAGCCAAGAAGGCCTCGATTTTTTATGGAAACGGCAACAAATGAGAGTTGAGAAGAAATTAAACCAATTTCCATCGTCTCCTGATGCCAAACGAGCTGTAGATATGTCCTTCTCAGTAAAGAAGGGTAAAACTAAAAAGAACGCGAAATATGGAAGACAAACCTCGGTTTTTAATGATCAAGAACCTTCACAGAAGTTAAAGAGGAATATTATCTACAAGTTTTATAATAGTGAAGGTACTGTTGGTGACTTCTTCGGATTCCCGCTTGAAACAGAATATGTCAATGACCCCACACTTGAAAAGAAAAGAAAAAGAGAACGTAAAGATAATAAAGATATTGCTCAACCGATGATTTTTGAGGAGAAAAACGCTCTTGTAAATATGTTCTTAGTCAAATGCACTTTTGAGCCGATTCAAGAAGTTTTTCAAGATTTCCTTAATATCGGTATTTACGCTTCATTATGATTTAGGAATTAATCAAAAATAGGAAGTGTTCAACTTATCTTGGTTATTTGATTAAGAGGTCTCCAGAAATCCTTGAAACTGTAAAGAAAGCTCTTGGCTACCATGAGCCAAAGAATAGCAAATTTGGTATGTCCTTGTCATTATTTCTAGAATACTGCAAAGATGTGCATGTTGACATGGAATTTGTACACGGAGATAAGGCCGAAGAACTAAAACTATCCGGTAATCTTTTCTTCTAACTTTACAGAATCTTACAGTAAACTCAAGAATGACTTCCAAGAGCATGCTGATAATATGGACAGAACACTTGGTAAGAGATAGCAAGGATTCATTATAGACCTAAGTTTCAGGATGTTCGGGAATATCTTGGTGAAATATGACAAACAACATGAAGCAAGCATGAAGAAAAACGTAAGAATCATACCCTAAAAATTTAGTCCAAGCATTATGATTATGAGCACGAGTTTATTGAGAAGCTTCAAAACCAGAAAAAGGAGTACCATGACCTTATGATCAAAGATAGCATTGGTAATTGAGCTTGATAATAGATAGTTGAGGAAGAAGGAAAACTACACTCTGAATCACACGAGGAAAGATTTGACAAATTGAAACAACTTATGAAGGAGGAAACTTCTGAGTATACAGATCCGTATGATGATGGCGAGCCAACCATTGCTTTTTACCCAGGAGAAAGAGAGTTTAAATAACTCAATTATGGAACATCAAAAGAGAGACCTTGATTCTTTATATACAGCTTCTTTTCATCATAGTTTTATCGAGGATGAAAATAGGCATACTCAAAAGTCTCAGGATTCTCCTCTATTAATTTCAAGGGGAGTCTTATCAGGAGCCCCTTCTATGATGTATAGAGATAGTGATAGTATTGAAAATTTCTCAGGTATCTTCAATTTACTAATCTTCTCCAGCAACTTTTGACGAAGTTAGAACTCAAAGAAATTCTTTAGGAATGGGATTCCTCAAGAAAGAAAATGAAAGCGAGGTCAAGCTGAAAAGGTACTTCCAAGCACTATATCATAGGTTAATACATGTCTTAGCTGAGAAGGCCATCACATGATGCTATCCAGGAAGCATCTCCTCAGATTACCCTCTCTCCATCCAATTTCGAAACGATGGGAGTCAAATGGTAGTTGACCACACTAGTTGAGAACTTGTGGTAGATTTCTTAAATTTGATCTCAAAGAAGACACCTACTTTGGAAATTCATCAGATGAGTTTTGCGCATTTGCCTGAGATTAAGGACTTCAAGTATAAGGCGTTTAACCAGGATGAGGATTAGGTTACAACCTGAACCTCTGTTACTATACCCTACAATTCATACTTAAATGCTAAGATTTATGAGATTCTCAATAAATATTGGATAGCATGGGGTTTTGGGGTTTTGGGGTTTTGGGGTTTTGGGG